CTTCGTCAACGTTACCGGAATCGGCTGGGGAGAAACTGAAAGACGAGCCGACAGCATCAGGAGAGGGACTTTACGACGGATCCGGCATATGAACCTTTATGCGCTCGTAAAGTCGTGCCTAGCGCGAATTGATTGTTAAACTCTGTCATTTGCAAACTTTTCCCACACGTTCTCGTCCGTTTTTTTTTTTTTTCATAAATATTTTCATATCGTGCAATACATATTCTCTCGGACAGATTTAAGTAGAGATTTATTCGAAATGATAATGTCGAGACATCAATAATTTTTGACTTAGAAAATTTCGTGAAACGAACTTCGGGATAAAAATAGATAATGAAATCTCGCCTCCCCTCGTTTAAGCTTAAATAGACTCTGCTTTGAAAGAATCTCGAAAGTTGAGGATTAGTTGTACAAAGGAGTATTTAAAGTCGAACCCGCGTAGGAAGGTTAGTGGAACTTTCATCAAACTTTCGCGGAGGAAAAATCAACTTCAAATTGATCGAGGAATCTGCGGATGGAGCAGAGCGTAGAAAATCCGAGAATCTTTATATACTATACACGAGTAGGTGTATCAAAATTCGAAAAGACTTTATGAGCTCGAAGCAAACAACGAACTCGAACGTGTGCATTTCAGTGAACTATACGAAAGAGCGCGTTTATAGCTCGACTTACGATCAATGTCTTGGCTTACGAAGCTGAACAAGACGTTTCTCTTTCATTAAACGAATCACGTTTTATTTGAAACTCCGAGTATTGGCCGAGTCCCAACAGGAGAATTAGGCGAAAGCTACGATAATGTCCTACTTGCAAGCAATACAATGCAATATATTTTATTAATAGTGTAATTTACCAAATATTTAAAAAAAATTCCACCTTGATACGTCGATATAAAATAAATACTATATATTATTTAAATTAATTATTTAACGGCAAAAGATGTTTGTAGACGCATCGTCAAGCGGTGTGTATCGGACACCCGCTCCGCGCGAATCTCCTTTCGACTAGCTTTATCTTCTGTCAAAGTAATTCGATAAGATCGAGACAAACCAGAGGGCAATGAATCGGAACAAAAACGGAGGACTCGAGGAGTTGGCACCAAAGTGCCGGGAGGCCGGAAATCACCTTCGAGAAAACCGTTCGTTTCTGATTCCGGTTTCCGGAAACTGTGGCCGACTTTCCAGCGTCCAATCTATTTAATATCGGCGGAAAAAAGGAACGAGAATAGTATTTTATAATTATGATAATGAATCTCCCGCGAGTCATAAAAAAATGTTACCTCTTCGAATGATGTATTACGGAATATATATTATTTCCCGCGCTTCCGGAACGAAGGCGATATCGGATGAATGACAAATTAAGAAGCCGCGAATATTAATCAAACGGTAATATAGTTAGCTGGCTCTCTCTAATAGAGAGAGAGAAAGAGAAGGAGAGGGGATCGCTCTTTGACAACTTCCAAAAGAAACTGCAACTTCATTTATGAGCCGCTTCCATTGGAATATCGGCAAATTAATTTACCCGATTAATTACGGTTATAATGCCGACAAAGCAAAAATGCCGGGATATATTAACGGCGGGACAGTCGCGTTTAACTGCGTTAATTAAAACCCGTAGTAACAAATATATGTACATACATATATAACACGATCTGTCAACTGAACACTGTTAAGCGTAATCAGATTTGCGTATATTTACATTCGCTCGAGTCTCGGAAAGTTGCCACCCCGCATTAAAGCCCAATTAGTTACTTGACTATTGCAACGTGATATTGCGATGACAATGCGTAATTCGATTAGAAGGTCAGAATTTACTTACTGATGAACGTCGTGTACGGCATCGTGTGCGAATTGAACGTACTCGTGTTGCATATATCGTCGAACTGCTGGCGCCATTCCGACAGTTGCATCTCTATTACGTGCTCGTCTCTCCTGTGGAACATGACGCACACGTATCCGTTTTTGCTGAAAAGGAACACGCAAAATACGTTAGATATACTCGAAATGAACGTCGCGAGAACGACATTGCGGAACTTAAATTTACAAAGTTGTAATGTTATTCAAAAACTTAGATCTACTACTACCAAGTAAATTCTCCTAATGTCGAGACTATTTCGAGCGAACTCGCGAGGGTCCGTTACAGAAGAAAGAGATAGTTAGCAAAGAGGAAGAATATATCTTATTGTGAATAACGCCGTCCCTTTAGACTGTAAAAATGAAATCACCCGCGGACAAATAAAAATTTGGATACGAAAGGATTAAGCGAGATACGCCGGTCCAGTGGACTGATCTCGAAAGAATGAGAGGGCAACGAGCCTTTTCTACTCAGGATAGCGGCGGCAAGGGAGAGAAACCTAAATCTTCTCCCCTAGGATAGGGTACGAGATTAAGATTTTATTTTATCAAGACGTTTCTTAACGGCCGAACATTAAGTTTAACGCAATTCTTTTACGATGGCCGTCGGTTTTTACGGCGGAATCTGAAAACTCGGCTATTTCTACGCGCGTCCGTATATACTCATAGTATACTGCGTCATATATATATACACGTGATACAGACGCGTCGCGTATAAGTTCATATCTGTATACACTTTGACGAGATATATGTTTACATTGTAGCCCCCGTGGAGCATTGCCGTCGTAAGCCGTCGTTGCGCGAACCGGAAACGACAGTCTCGACATATATTTGTCTTACGAGTTTCCCGTCCGTGTGAAGAGGGATATAAAGTTTATATTACTTCTCGATATAGCTCGCCTCGCGCGAAACTAGTTCCCGCGATCGCGGCCGGGGATTCCACGATCCAGCATTATGGACCAATTTTTTGCAAGATTCAATTTAATTGCGCTGCTTCCGGCATTGAACAGGCGAGGACGAGAAAAAGCGACGCGGAAGATATAAATAAATTTTGCGCGAAAGAAAAAGTGTGTTCTCTCGTTAATATTCTAAATATTAAGAATAATAATAATAATGGTAATAATAATAATAATAATTTTTATTGTGCAACAAGAGACAATTTTTTCAAAGACAATAGGAAAATAAAACAAAAGATCTCAAGTGTGTATACACAATATGTACATTAAAGCTGAACAGATAAGATAAAGAGAAATAAAGATTAAAAAGAAATATTATATAATTCTGGGATTTTACTGTATAAATATCGATCTATGTACGTTTAGCAAGCTATTCGCGATATATTTATAAAAATTCATATAAATTTGTAAATTTGTAACTCACACGGAAGCTTTTGTTGATTGAGAGTCTTGATTTTTACGAACCATATCCCTCGGCTAATGCGTGTCGTAAATACACAGACGTATAACCGTATAAATTTTAACCGCGTGGCTTTATTTCCGATGTCCTTCTACTGTCACGTTAACGATTTTTACGCTCATTAAAATCGTTCTAAATACGTCCGTGCAAATATATGTGAGGCGTATAAATCTATTCTTGAAAATTTACGAAGTGCATTTTTCAAGATAGAGACATTATTTAGCGGCAATTTGCAGTAACATTGTTGCAACAAGAACCAGGTCAGAGCGTGATAAAAGTTTCAACTCGCTATTTCAGAGCCGATGTGAAAAGATAGGCAAATTGTACAAGGGTTGAAAGGTAAAAAATACGATCTTCCTCAAATATTCAACCGCGCATTTAGACTCCGTCGCGCTACGTCATTTTTTTTTTCCAGCAGAAAGTACGAGCTCGCGACGCCAAAATTTCATTATTCGCCGCAGACTATGATTTGCAGGGCGAATATTTTTTTTTTTTCGGAAAATATCCCGCAAGCGAGCTGTGCGCTCATTCGGGCGTATAAAAGCATTGTAATAAAACGTGACGAACGTCAAGGGAGATTTCGTGGAAACAGACACTCGTCTGCGATATGATTGATCGATGTCAGTTTTCTGGGCGAATCACGATACGCTATGATCCGCCAACCGTAAGGCCACTCTCGCCGATATCTGTATCGTGTGTTTGTAAAAGCATGTATACCAGAAGACACAACGTTAAATAATCCATAGCGTGACTTTAGAACGCAGAGCGTCGCGAATA